TGACCTATAGGCTCCTGGCTGTCCTAGTATAATATTGCACAACAGGGAATGGGTGAAACTTTGCTGGTATCCCTCTCAGAATTTACTTCTCTTGATTTATGTAACCCACAGAATCCAGTGAGGAAGGTTATTCTATTGAATTATCTTAGGTGGATTATCTATTTATATTATTGGTACAGCTAGAAAACTAGATAAACAGACTGACAGCTCTCAAGGACCTCTAAATGAAGGGGTGATCACACTACACACACTAAGAGCCTCTCACCTCTAGAAGCAACATGTTGAAGACTGCATCTTATCTATATATTATTAGTCAGATGTGGTCCCCCGTCTGCAGATACTTAAATTCATGGATGGGGGTGACATAGAGGCTAAACAGATTTTTCAGCAAACTTGGGGCACTCCCTAGGTTTGAAGAAAAATCTTAAAATTATATACACACACACAGAGGCAAATGCAGATAACACTCCTTCCTCCAGCAGTCATCTTCGAGCTTGGGAACTGCTTTGAGACCAGCAGGAGCTCAAGAGCCCCTCTGGGCCTCGTGGCAGTTACACAGTCCAGGAGCCACATGGAGTATAACTCTGCTGGCAGCAAAATGTAGCAGTCAGGCTGTATGGCTATATGGCTCACCCAGAGCAGCCCCAGACCAGGCAGCACAATCTCTCCCACCCCCACCTCTCCAGCGAGCCACAGAGAGCTGGGGGAGAATGTACTGGCTCACCTGGAGCTGCTCTAGGCAAGCCAGCTCAATCCCCCCAGCTCACTGGGATCCCTCCACAAGTCTCATGGGCCCCTACTTGTAATTTCCCTATTTGCAGGTTGCTATTTTCAACTAGTATATAATCACTGCTACCACTGACACTTTGTCAGAATACCAGTTTTGTAACTTTCATTCCTCCTACAATATTTCCTGTACCTTTCGTTATTTTAATTATTTCTCCTTACTAAAAATGTCAAAGTACTTCTCTAAGAGTACATTTTGGTAATGTGGTATTAGGTACAGAAATCTTGTCAACTGGATCTCCTAAACCGAAATAGCCAGATATATAACAGATAGCTAACAGCAACAAACAAAGAAATGAAAAGAAAAGAAAACCCTAGGCCTTTTATTTTTAGATAGAAACATATTAAGCAACTGAGGCCAACATTTTCTTTAAAGGTAAACAGAAGATACATATGACCTCCTCTACTTCTAAACAACATTGTTTACCCTACAGTTCTACATATTATAACTAATTTTCCTAAGTGGTAGATTTTACTTAATATGTTGCCAAGAAAAGTTAGCCCCCTCCTCATGAGGGCTCTGCCATCCTTTCTCTGTATTCCATGTGTCAATTAACAACTGTCAACTTCCAACTGAAAAAGAACCTTCTCTTCCAACTGAAAAAGAACCTTCTCTTTCTCTCACGCCTTTTTATCCAATCAAGACAAAGTTCCCTTTTTTGTGATTAGTATTTATTGTGCCATAGTAACCCTTCTCAATCTCTTCAGCCCACTCAAGTTCCTCATTATCCCTTTTGTGTTGTTCTCTTTCAGGCCTTCCAGAAATACCATCTTCTGTTTACAATTAGATACTTCTTTATCTCCCTGCTTTCATCATTATCAACTTGTGCCTTACTGTACATTGAAATGGGGGACGTTCCCACTTCAAAAGTAACCAAAGTGAAAACCAAGTTACTGCAAAGTGCAGAAGTAAACAGCATCATAAAGCAGACACAAGCAATGGGGAATGATGGAGAAAAAATGAGGTAGAAGGGAGACCCTTGATTACAGATATCTTTCTTTTAAGCTGGGAAGAGAACAAAATAGATGTAAACATACTGGGAATGCCTCCTTTTTCCAAGCAGAATTCACAGGTGATGGCATAATCACAACTGGCATGGGGAATGAACAAAGGCAGTGTATATTAGAGTGGGGTTGCCTTCTCAGTTTCAGTTACTTCATGGTGCCACTCCACTATGTCTGTAAGACCCGTTGACTATACGTAGTCTGTTCTGAGGTAAATGTCAGTCTTATCGTTCCTGCAGAAGGTATTCAAAGGGGACCAATGTGGCAGCCATGAAAAGCTCGTACAGTGACATGCTTCTTCAAAAGGCTGCACAGAGTACAGCTTCTTTTACTAAGTGTGCTAGGATGCTATCTGGACATCACTGGAAGTGTAGGAGAAGGCCAGTGATGCCATGGGCCCAATGCTGACTTCCTTCCTTCCTTCCTTCCTTCCTTCCTTCCTTCCTTCCTTCCTTCCTTCCTTCCTTCCTTCTCCCTCCCTTCCTTCTCTAATATTTTGTCTATATAATACATGACAGACCTGCAGGCATCAATATGTACCACTGTCAGTGTGTAGAAGGCTCTGGGCCCAAATAGATGGCAGAACTATTGTTTGACATCTTGCCATGATGAAAAAAAGCACAGTTCCTCCTCTACCAAAAGATCCCAGTTCAGGAATCCTGTATGCTAATATAAGGACCAGTAAGAAAACAATTGTCAAATTTAAGAACCTGAGTGAAGTGTTGCTTAAAGGTTCCAAAGGGAGGCTTTAAAATGCCAGATAGATATAGAGACAATAATAACAAAGGCTCTCCCAAGGACTGGGAATTGACAGGTTTGTCAGGTTCAAGAACCAATGTTTGTGAGGAAATCTTGGTGTGAAGAGACTAACTTCTGTGATGCTGTTCCTGAATCTTCATGATGGTTCATGGTAAGGAACTTCAACTTTAGGAACATGTGTCTTACATTACATCATTGTGTAAGAAGATTTTGTAATATGCTTATTTTATTGTTACTGTGAAGAAATGCATTGTCTTCTGGACGGTTGGAAAGCAGCAAAAGCTTTCCATGTGCATTTAAGCAGTTTTCTTTCTCTGAGCTAAGAACAAGCAGCTTCCAGACACATCTTTTAAGAATTGTTAATGGGTTTTGGTTTTGCTAGAGACAATGGGATGGGCCAGTTCACCCCCCCCCTTCTCCAAGCAGGGAATAGAGATAGAGATATTAATGGTTAGACAGGTTACAGGAAAGGACTTCCTGGAGACAATAGGAAAAGGAACCTTGGCCTGGTCTGACCAGGTCAAGGGGGAGGAGACACAGATTTGTTAAAACCACCTTACAAGGGGAAGGCAGTCTCTCTTCTCCTTGGGATGCTGAGCTGAACAGACCTCTTGTCTGAGCTTGGGAGCAGGCCTCCATTTTGGACCATGTGGCTGGCCGAGAGAGCTGGATTAACCCTTAAAGCAATGGAAGATCTTTATAGAGCTAAGACACCTGAAATAAAGGGATCTATGAAAAAAGCCCATGGGGAAAAAGCCCACAGAAAAATCCCATGGTCATAAATGCTCACAGGAAAAAAGCCCACATGGAAATAAGCCCAAATGGAAAAAAAGCCCATACACCAAAAAGCCCACATGGAAAGAAGCTTACATGGAAATAAACCCAAATGAAAAAAAGCCCATACACCAAAAAGCCCACATGGAAAGAAGCCCACATGGAAAAATACTATGTAAAGCACCAGAGATATTTATAATTGTGGATCATGAGAATGAACAGGTATTACCTATATTTTACAGTGTTATTTTAGGATTAAAACATGTCATATTCACATGCAACAATTTGTGTTGTGATTTTATCAAGTATAATCTTAATATAATAATCCCCTTATGTATTGGCCATTTCCAGCTGTCCCATTGGCTGTTCAGTGCGCTCCATCAGCCATTGGCCCAGTGCGCTCCATCAGCCATTGGCTCCATCAACCAGTGCGCTCCATCAGCCATTGGCCCATCAACTGCCACAAGAGTAATCGTGTGCCTAGCAACAGCAACTGAGAGAAAAGTTAGTTCCACAGGAGCCAAGCAGGAGAAGTGTCTTCGTCAGCAGAGACAGCCATTCTGACAGGGAACAGTGGCTGAGGGGGCAGTGGGTGGGGAAGAGGAGTGGACCCAGCATGTAGCCAATGGCTTGCGATTACTCTTGAGTGGTGGTTGATGGGCTTTCCATGTGGGCTTCTTTCCGTGTGGGCTTTTTTCCTGTGAGCATTTATGTCCATGGGGCTTCTTCCCATGGGTTTTTTTCTGGTCACCGAAATAAAGAGTCTGTCCTATATTTTCAGAGAGGGCATGTATAGCTGAGAGGAACAGAGGATTTGTGTTTTATCAGTTTCTTTTGTTTCTCCTTGCTTCACTCTGGCATTGTGCTAAAATATGCTTATAAACATTTTCTTTTAAATAAATACTTTATAACTTTGGATGCTGGTAGTGGTTCTCTGTACAAAATAGACTTCCACTGTTCCAGGCATTTTAAAGGGGAGCCCCACAAGGGGGGAAGGCAAGGAGTTGGCAATTGGCTATTCCCCCCCAGGAGCACACATGACATTGATCTGTCCCTGTGGTAGCCAGGCACTGGGCTAGCAGGAGACACTGAGGCAAGGCCTCTGAGCTCTGAAGGAGAGCTGAAGGTCCTGATCCCTTCAGTGGGAAATCCCTATATTGATCAGGTTGTGATGGCAGCTACTGGAGAGTAAAAGGAGAAGCCCCTCCAGGGAGTTGGGAACCCCCTAGGAGGACAGGGTAGAATGAGGTCTGCAGGTCAGAGCAGACATGTTCTGCCACTATTACCCATCTTGAGTCCCATTTATTTGGAAGAAAGTTGGGGTTATAAATATTTTACATAAGTAAAATTAAAAATAACTTGTCATACAAGTTATAAGTAGGAAGAAATGGAAACATATTTCTTATTTTTGGCATATAATCTATGGATATACTGTAATCCTGCAAACATTATTTTGATATAATTTCCATTAAAAGAAGTTTTTTCACAACAAACTTAAATCCCATTTATATCAATGACATTAGTTGCAGCTAACTTTAGCTAGAATATTCCTCACACAGCCTTTGGTTTTGGTTCAGCCTGTTGCTTTCAAAGATTAAGACAATGTTAAAAAAATATTTTTTTACTAATCTTAAAACACTGTTTGGTGTGAATGCAGAAAATATTGTTTTCCATACCTTGCTGCTTGTGGGGATCATAAATTTGCAGACCAAACACAGGTGATCTCTCACTTCTTAGAAGCATTACATTTCTAGTTGTCAAATCCAGTTGGAAAATAGAGCCATTCATATAATCTGTCCAGAAAATAGAATTCCTGTGGTGTGACAGTCCAAATGGATGGTTTAGTTCTTTTCCACTGTAAATCACCTGTAATTAAGTGACATTATTTAAATAGTTGTTAAATATCATTTCACCATTAAAAGGTTTAGAATTCACCCAGCAAATGATGGGTGGGGTGAATACTTTTGTTCATGCATAATGAGGACTGAATTCAGTTTGTAAAATACCAGGTAACAGACATCTTAAGCACCACTAGATGTCTCGGAGATCTTTATGTACATGCTAATTATCTTTTTTGCCCTAAGGCCCTCTTCATTCTTTAGTAAGATTACTGATCACATCAATAGATCTAGTATCCACACATATCAAAAGTGGATTCTATCACTTTGTCTTTCAGGTTTAATGTAACATAACAAATTTCTTCCAAAGTTATGAAGCCTACAACTCAGTTCTTAAGATTTATTTACTTTTGCACCCCTTTTTGTCCATTGCAGGGGCAGTTTTCTAAGCAAAGCATGTCCCTCTAGTGCTAGGTACTTTTCTGCTCACTGAAAGACGCTGATCTTGTATGAGTGGAAAAAACCTAGAGCTGGAGGAACTGTCCATGCAATGAAAAAGAAGCGAAAGTGGAAACGAAGCCCGAGATACAAGTCTGTATCTTTTCCTCATAGGTGGAAAATATACATGTATATCAACACATGTGTATTGATAGTGCCTCTAAGATCTTCTACAGTAGAATAAACAATGACCTAGTAGGTTAACTCTTGAATATTTAAACTGACAGAAGGGGGGGGTTCCACCCACTCCCTCTCTCCACTGCAGCTCCCAAACTGTGCAGTTCTTTCTTCACATAGATCCTGGGATCACAGGAATGAATTTTCTAGGGATCAGAAGGGGCTGCATTAATGGAGAGAGGAACTCCACACATACATTTTTTGGATGCATCACTGGACACAAGCTAATGATTGGCTTAAGGTCACCTGGTGAGCCATAAGGTATAGTTGGGATTTAAACCTAGTTCTCCCTAGTCAGAGCCTCACATTCTAGCCACTATATCATCCTGACCAGTGGACCTGCATTCTAATGTCAAATTGTAAGGGGGATTTTCAGTCCAGGGATAAAATGTTCCAGATGCCCCATGTGTTCTATGAACAGCATCTTTGTCATATGTCTGGGCAAATGATGTTTATCAGTCACCATTTATAAGCCTTATATGCTAAAGTCCCACATGTTTACTCTTACTTGACATGGTCATAATTTTCATGTCCCCTCTCCCCACCATGTATTCATGCTGGAGAAACAGCATATAACTATATACAAAATATCTATGGCACACACTAGCAATGTCAACATATGGTAAGTCTTAAATACGTTAAGCTTGCCACCAGATACGTACAACACAATTCAGTTGCTAACACATGAGCATCACACAATAAAATCTATCTGATCTACTCTCTTTGAAGAAAACAAAGTAAAAATAAACCCTAGGCCATACTTCCCCCATCCCATACGAAAAGTCCAGCTAAAATTATTTTGGGGCTCTTTATTCTGGGAATATACAGAGGGCCAACTAATAAGACATCCTTGAAGGAGAAAATTATACACACACACACACACATCTTTCAGTGAAAGAGAAGTCAGAGAACAACAGAGCAGTGTATTTTCTTTTACCTTTCTGTCAGTTCCATTCAAAAATATTCTTTCAATGTGATCATAATACGCATCACACCAGTATAATACATTGCTACGATAGTCCAGAGTTAATCCGTTTGGCCATAACATCTTTGATGCCACAAAAATCTGCCGGCTGTGGCCATTCATCCATGCCTTCTCAATTCTTCCCACACTATCATCTATTTCATCTTCTTCCCAGTCTGTCCAATACATCCAGCTATGAAATGATAAATAGAAGCATTCATTTATTATTTGAAACCTACAGTTTAGATTCGAGAATATTTACTACACAAAGGTCAATATAAGTTTATTTTTCTAGTTTGATTAAACCTTCCAAATTCAGTTTTCTTTCCAACAAGAGGCAATGATGGAATGACAGCAGCAGTGCAACAACGTGGAGAGGAATGATTTCTATACGTTTTCAAAGCTTCTCAGCACAGAAAAGATAATGAATTACATGATTAAAAAGTGAACAACTGACATGAGAAGTCTCAGCTCCATTAATAAGCTGTTCAGTTTTTATCCGATCACAAAGAATAATGATTGAACCCTTCAACAAATGCACAAAAAAACCTGGCGAACTCCATTACAAAGGGCAGAACTACATGTTAGGGATTTGCCTAATATATACTTTTCTTTTGAATACAAAACACATGCAACTATTACTGCACACAGTGAGTTTACTATCTTTAATTTTAATAACTCTAGCTAAAGTGGCTTGAAACTTTGAACACCACTCAAATGCCTCGTGGGAATAATTTATTCCCTTAAAATGGTATGATTAACCACATCCCTTCAATGTTTTTGTTTTATTTTTTTGGCCAAGGAAATCACAGACTGTTTTGGCATGCCCTGTTGGGCAAACACTCAATACTGTATGTTTGCTGCACAAAACAATGGCATAATACTTTATGCAGAATTCATTCTAAACGTATACTTAAACAGCAAATAAATATGTTTAGACTGCTTTATTAAATACATATGCAGCTTTTTATTTAATTCAAGGGCTTATAAGTATCCTATTAAAATATGTTCAATTCAAATCAATGAAGTTATGCTTCTAAGTTTATGTATTTAATCCTTAATCATGGGGTCGCAGGGTATAAATATAAATAAACAAATAAACTTCAAGGTTGAGCTTGGAGATCTTCTGGAATTACAACTGATTTCTAGATGGCAGAACAGTTCCCCTTAGAATTGCCAGGTACCCCTGGCAACCAGTGGGAGGAGACCTAGCCTAGAGTCGCACGACAATATACCCCCTCATTGGTTCATGTTTTTGTGGCCAAGGTTATTGCTCAATTGTTACGTGGCTCTCAATTGTGTGCTTGCAATATGTTCAGATCTCTTGAAATCATAAGGTCAAAATTTTTGAGACCCATATTTGCGGTTCCTCATTGTGTTCCTAATGTGCTTGCATCCTGAGCCAGGCTTAATTTCTCTTGAAGCCCATGCTTGGATATATGGAATTAGTTAAAGCTTATCTCCCTTATACATTGGGCTCAGGGCGGTGAACAACATTCTACAAAAACAATTACAGATCAGTAAACAATTAAAACAAAAAACAAATTCTGTCACAGATATAGATGGAACTTGATGGACCAATTTTGTCCTATCCCATGGGGGGAGGGGGGGAACCAGGTACAATGGAGGCCATTGCTGTCCTCATCAACAGGCCTGGTGGAACATCTGTCTTACAGGCCCTGCAGAACTGCACTGGGTCCTGCAGGGTGTTGATGTCATTTGGCAGAGAGTTCCACCGGGCCAGTGCCAGGGCTCAGAAGGCCCTGGCTCTGGTTGAGAACAGCCAGATATATTTCGGGCCAGGGATCACCAGAAGATTCTTATCCCCAGACCATAATGTTCTTCTGGGACTATACCAGGAGAGACAGTCCTGTAGATATGTTGGTCCCAGACTGTTTAGGGCCTTGAAGTTTAACACTAAAACCTTGAACTTGATCCACTATTCAACCTGGAGTCAGCATAACTGATGAAGCACAGGTTGGATATGTTCTCTCAGTGGGGTTCCCATAAGAACCCAGGCCAATGCATCCTGGACCAGCTGTAGTTTCCAGATCAATTTCAAAGGCAGCCATGTGTAGAGTGGGTTACAGTAGCCTAACCTGGAGGTGACCATTGCACGGATTACTGTGGCTAGTTCAGGGCATGACAGAAGGGTGCCATTTGCCAGACCTGGCATGGTTGGAGAAATGCCAGTCTGGCAACATTTGTGATCTGGGCCTCCATTGATAAGATGGCATCCAGAAGCGCAACCAGGCTCTTGGCTGTCAGCACCAGTGTTAAGGGAGCACCATCAAGAGTTGGGAGTTGGCCTCCCAACCAGGAGCCCTCCCCTAGCCACAGAACCTCCATCTTTAATGGATTCAGTCTCAACCAGTTCTGTTTCAACCATCCAACCACTGCCTCCAGCCCCTTAGCCAGTGTTGCTGGGGTGGCATCTGGCTGGCTGTCCATCAACAGGTACAGCTGGGTGTCATCTGCATATTGATGACAACCTAGCCCAAAACTCCATGCCAGCTGAGTGAGAGAGAGCATATAGATGTTGAACAGTATTGGAGAGATTACTGACCTCTAAGGGATCCCACATACCAGGGGGTATCAGAATGATTCTCTATTAGCGCTACCCTCTGTCCTTGACACTGGAGAAATCTATTTATTTATTTATTTCAATTTGCTAGGCCACCCTTCCCTGAGACATGGTCAGGGTGGCTTACATCAAAAGTGAATACAGTATCAGAGAATATTAAAACAACATTAAATAAATTAAAACAATTCATCAAAAAGCAATACTGTATCCAAGATGATGGATAATTTCAGTATCATGTGCCCCCTGGATGGAGGGAAAGATATGGAGAAAAAGAGGGGAGGTGGGTAATGAGGTAAGCCACTTCAAGGCCACCCCATGGACTCCTGTGTCGGCAAGGCAATGGATTAACAAATCATGGTCAACCGTGTTGAACACTGTTGTCAGGTCCAACAGTAATAGCAACACTGACCTGCATTGATCCAGCTGCCTGTGGAGATTGTCTGTGGGGGCAACTGTTGCTGTCTCTGTCCCATGGCCAGGACAGAAACCAGACTGGAAGGGGTCTTGGGCCAATGTGTCCTCTAGGAAACTCTGGAGCTGTTCTGCCACCACTCTTTCAATTACATTGCCCAGAAACGAAAGATTCAAGACAGAGAGGTAATTGGAAAGATCCATAGGGTCCAGCAATGGTTTCTTTAGGACCAGTTTTACCACCAAATCCTATAATCCCCCTGGGTAGATCCCTAAACTAAGGCACAGGTTGATAATGTCTGCTATGGGGCCCCATATTCCCTCACCACTGGCTTTCACCAGCCATGATGGACACAGGTCCAGGAGGCAAGTGGTTGGCTTAACAATGCCCAGTATCCTATTAACATCAATCCAAAAGAGTCGGTTGAACTTGTCAAGTGTTGAACCCAAAGGCAGTCAAGGGGCCCCCAGTCCACATAATATATCAATACTGGCAGTCAGGTCATTGTGGAGTGACAAGACTTTGTCTGCAGCAAAGCTCACAAAAACCTCACAACTAATGGCTGAATTGTTAACATTTTTTTGTTCTCTCCATAAGAGAGGGACCTAATTATTCTAAATAATCGTGCTGGGCGAGAGCTAGCAAATGTGATGGAGGCTGCATAAAATTCCTTTTTAGCAGACTTCACTGTAATCTTGTAGGTTTTCATAAATGACCTGTAAGATGTTCTTGTGGCTTCATCACGAGACCATTGCCAAGCTTGCTCTAGCCATCTAAGCTCCCACTTCATCCCCCTGAGCTCCATGGTGTACCATGGGACCAGTTTGGGGTAGGAGTGAAGAAGGCTTTGGAGGCAATTTCACCAATGGCTTCAGAAAGACAGGTATTTCCAGTCTTCTATCAGCACATCTAATGACTCGCCAGGAGGCATTGAATCCTGCAGAGCATTCTGGAACTCAATTGGGTCCGTTAGTCTCTGTGGGCAAGCATAAATGTGTTTGTCGCCTAAACAGAAAGGAGCTGGGACACCCAGGTGGGCCTTCAGGGCAAAATTATCTGACCATGGCAATTTGTCAATAGCAATCAGATTTATATCTGTCCCCATGCCAAAGGTCAAACCCAGTGTGTGGCCTGCTTGCTGTGTGGAAGCTGTTACAATCTGGGAGAGTCCCAGTGCTGCCGTGGACAACACCAGGTCCAACGTCTGCAAGGAGGCGGCATCATCATCGTGGGCGTTGAATTCTCCCAAGACTATCAATCTTGGGAATTCCAAGGCCCAACCCACTACCATCTCCAGCAGGCTTGGCAAGCTATCTGCTGGTGCATTAGGTGGTCAGTATACCATCCAGATAGCTACACTCACCTCAGCACCCTGACCCGGGCCAACACATTCAATACCAGAGATCTTTGGAATGGGGAGTACCCTGAAGGAGAAAAAATCAGCATATGTGCTGAGTAATGCTGCAATTGTATGCCTTCCAATTTTGGTCCAGAAAATACAGGTGCAAACAACTGATCAGAGCCCATGTACCATAAATGGTGCACAGTGCATTACTTAGCATGCATGCATCTGACTATGGCACAATAAGCTAGACTCTAAGAGGCCTCAAAGGAGCTGCGGTGGCTCAAGTGGTTAAGATGCTGAATTGCAGGCTGTGGAAGGTCGGCAGTTCAGCAGTTCAAGACCCGAGTGTGCCGCATGACGGAGTGAGCTCCTGTCTCTAGTTCCAGCTCCTGCCAACCTAGCAGTTCGAAAGCAAGAAATTGCAAGTAGATAAATAGGTACCACTTCAGTAGGAAGGTAACAGGATTCTGTGCGCCTTGGTGTTTAGTCATGCCAGCCACACGACCACGGAAATGTCTTCGGCTTTGAAACGGAGATGAACACTGCAACCCTAGAGTTGGATTCGACTGGCTTTCGAGCAAGGGAACCTTTACCTTTACCTAGGAGGCCTCATAAAAATTCTCATGCCTTGTGTAAATTGATTATTATAAAAGTGTTTGTTTTTTTTGGCCCTACATCAATGTGAATTCTATTACTATTGTATCATGAGCCTTTATGTACAAATATTGGTTGACCATTGAGGAAAACCTATTAGGGCCAAAAAGCATCAGGTCACAATAGTTCCCACTTCTGTATATTGTATCCTTATTCTGTAATGAGGCTACAGTTGGGCCCATAAATGGTTTTAACCCT